CTGTTCCTTTCCTCTGGGAACAGACCCCCGGAAGGCCAAAGGATGAGAGCAGACCACAAACTCATTTCACGGAAAAACCTCCTACCGCACCAAAGCTTCCACCTGGGTGGAAGTTAAGAGATAACCAGGATTTCGATCAAACAGGAAAATTTCAAAATACCATGCTGAGTTGCACTTCTTCTTTAGATGAAAATGTAAAGAAGATGGGGAGTTTTGACAGCTCAAAAGAGATGATGCACGATAAGGAAAAGATTGAATCGGAGGATGACGATGAAGCCTATTTGGATGCCTTGGATACACTTTCAAGAACTGGATCATCCTTCCTAAATTGTAGTGTAAGTGGCTTAAGTGAATTTGATGTGCCGAATGCAAAACAGTTTCGAACTTCTTCAACGAATCCGCAAACTAAGGATTTCATGATGGGTCGATTGCTGCCAGCAGCTAAGGCAATGACTTCAGACAAGACTTCAGAAACACCTTACTATGTCCGCAAGAAGCAACCACCTGTCGAGGATCAACGAAGACAGACGAAGAATATAATAAATGGGGATAGACAGCCTCAGTTGCGCTACGGACCTAGTTTTACACTTTATCATTCCCAAGCTCATGATTATAAAGAAGAAGAGGAAGAAAGTGATGATGACTGTTATGAAAGAGGAAATTTATCTACTAATATTTGTGGATTGTTGCCTCATTTTTGCTTGAAAAGTTCTTTTCGTCTTCTAAATCCTGTACCTCCAATGAGTGCTAGACCTCGAATACCCGTCTCTCCTGTCAGTAGAACACAAACTGGATCCTTTTCTACTACTTCTTTTAGCGGAACAGAAAATGAGGTATGAACTTCCATTCTTTTCTTCCTGGCACTCATTTCTTTGCTTGATCCACTCGCGTTGTGCTAACTTTCTTGTCTAGATTTACTTTGACTAAACTATAATTATAATTTTTGTTATCTTTTACAGCGGTCAACATCTGATGTAAGTGAGCAAAAGTCTGTCGTTGGATCCATAACAACTCAACTACATGAGGATAAGAACAATGTTAAGGGCAGGACCTATTCAACTTATGCCAATGAACCTTACAATAATATGACAATGCTTGGCACGAACGCGGAAGAAAATAATCCCGAGCTCAAGTGCTTGTCTGATCAGAACAATAGCAGGGAAGTAGATGTTTTAACTCCTTGTGTAGAGAAAACTCTGTACATAGATATTGTGCATAAAACAGATTCATCAGTTAAGATATCATGTTCTCTAGATAAAAAACCATCTAAGTTACAACACGAGGACGTTGAGATACTTGAACAGATGATAAAACAAAAACCATTTGTAGATTCTTCACTTTATTCGTCTGAGACTTCATTAAAGCCATATCTTCAAAGGAAAGCTGACTTCAATCCACCACGTTCAGCGGAAAAACTGAACAATGGAAGGGAGATGAAAACACAGACATCTACCGGTCAAGCTCAAGATTGTTACCAAGATGCAATGACCTTAGAAAAGTCTGACAGTGATGGTGAAGAAAAAAACAGAAAGCCAATTCCGAGAAGAGAAAAGTTAGAGAACTCATGCAAAGTGCACCCAGAGTTTCTTGCTCCACCACCTTTACCGAAATCTCCATCAGATTCCTGGCTTTGCCGCACTTTGCCTTCTTTATCCACAAAGAATGCATCTTCACGGGCTTATATCGGGACAGGACTGAATCCTAATAACCAGTCTTCTAAGCCACTACCTAGTGATTCCAAGTGGGAAACAATTGTTAAAATGACAAAGAAGCAACAGCATCTGTGAAACTCTTGAGGTAAATTCTTTATTTCTTCCAATGTACAAGTTTATGCATTTGTCTTCCCCCTCCCCCTCCTGGAGTTCTGAAAGAGTCCCACATCGCGGCCCTTTAAGGGATGAGTGGTCTCTTCAATTTGACTAGGGAAATCCTCACCTCTTGAGCTAGCTTTTTGGGGTTGAGTATGGTCCAAGATCCATTTTATTACGAGAGTGAAGGGAATGTGTATGCTGATTGTCTGACCCCCCCCGACCCCCCCCCCCCCCCAATTCCAGTGTATGTGGCAACATTTTTTTTTTTTTTAATCTGTTCCAATAACAACTTTCTAAACTTAGAAACAATTCAAGTTGAACATCCGTTTTATCCTTGATGTTATAGCCACACAAATATCATGACATGTTTATGATCACAAGCCTCAACAGTCTTCATTTATTTCTTGAACTCCGTGCCTATTCTTTAAGTGTTCCTTAATTTTTCCAGTTTCTTAGTTTCTCTGCTTAGAATTTCACCATTCTGTCAGGAACTGGCTTGGACATATATAGAAGAAGCTCAGTAGAAGATGTAAAGGCTTTTCTGAACTCCGCTGGTTTATTTCTCATGCTTTCTTATGCATATCGAAAAGTAAGATTGGCGCGAAGGTGGCCGATCATATATTGTTTGCTGTATAGACTCTATACTTTCTTCAGTTGTAATGGCTTTATAACTGCAAACTCATATCCTGTAATTACATGATGGAATAAGAGTTTACTGTACAGATGATCCTAAAATTCAATGTAAACTTTAATCCCTTGCATGTTGGGATTTCTTGTTTCTGAGAGAGGTAAATGTATTGATATTTGGACGAAAACTCGAAACTTAAGTGGAGAAAGGTAGAGGGACGTAACCTTACTCCTACTTTTACTTTGTGAAGGATTGCCAAATGGCACAAATTGCCAGCATCTGTCTGATAAGAAATCATAATGTGGATCTAGATTTGAGTATCATATTTTCTTTCTGTACTGACAAGATATTAATATTCATCATTTGTCTAGTTATCAATCTTCTATATGTAATTTAGTTATCTTTAATGCAAAAGTATTGAGATACATAATTCTGCAAGAATATGTGAACCAAAAACTCTTGTGCCTTGCTATAGTCTAATGATGAGAAAATTAAGATCTCACAATGTATAAATTTCCTTTCCTTTATTTCTGAATGAATCCATCACTGTACAAGGTCCTATATTTATACAAAATGAAAAGCATCTATTCTGTAACTAACTATACAACTGTCCATTTCTTATTGAATGAAGTGTAACTAATTGCAAAAATAAATAAAAGATAAGAGGAATATTAGACTTCCATATTATCTTCAACATTGGGCCTAATCCATTTGATATCAGCTCAAACCTGAGCTCAGGCCCAAAGTGAGAATGAATATCTCAGGTCCAATGTGAGAATGAATGTTGACACCCTACCTCGAGTTGGAGGGTTATTAGAAACACCCAACTTGCCAAGAAGATTATGATGAACAGGTCCTGTAAGAGATTTCGTAAAAATGTCGGCTAGTTGTGAAGTAGATCGAACATACGACAAGGAGATGAGTCCGGCTAGGTATTGTTGACGGACAAAGTGACAGTCAAGTTCGACGTGCTTCGTCCGTTCATGGAATACCGGATTCTTCGCGATGTGTATAGCTGCAAGACTATTCGAATGAACAGGCACAGGTACAGAAAGGTCTTCGAACAGACGAACTAACCAGGTGAGTTTAGCAACAACCCTTCTCATTGAGCGATATTCAGCTTCAGCAGAACTGAGGGAAATGGAGGATTGTTTCTTCGATTTGCAAGAAATAGGAGAAGTTCCAAGAGAAATATAGTAGCCACTAACTGATCTGCGTGAATCTGGACAGGTACCCCAATTGGAATCACAAAAAGCTGTCAGCTTGAAGGAGGAGGATGAGGAGAAAAATAGACCAAGACCTGGATCTTTCAGCAAATAACGTAGCACCCTCAAAGCAACAGTTAGGTGTGGCTGACGAGGATCCTGCATGTATTGACTTAGGTGTTGCACAGTGAAAGAAAGATCAGGCCTTGTATTAGTCAGGTAGTTCAATTTACCCAATAAATGTCGATAGAAAGTTGGATCGGTGATAAGCTCTCCATGATTAGCCAATAACTTGATAGTTGGATCTAATGGACAAGAAACAGGACTTAGATGTAGAGAATCAAATTCTCGCAAAAGATCCAATGTGAACTTCCTTTGTGAAATAAGCAGACCTTGAGGTTCTCGAACAACCTCCATTCCAAGAAAAAAATGTAAAGAACCAAGATCCTTAATCTTGAATTATGTGTCTAAGAAACTCTTTAAACTGTGTAATTCTGCTTCATTATTTCCTGTCAAAAGGATATCATCCACATAAACAACAACAATAGAAATAGAATTGTCTGATTTTTTAACGAAGAGTGAATAATCATTCAAAGAATGACGAAATCCTTTGAAATTAAGAGCAGCAGTCAACTTAGCATACCATTGTCTGGATGCTTGTTTAAGTCCATAAATGGACTTCTTAAGCAGACAGACATGGTCAGAAGTAGGAGGTGAAACACCTGGAGGAAACTTCATATACGCCTCTTCATTTAAATCACCATGTAAAAATGCATTGTTAACATCTAATTGGAAAATACCCCAACCATGCTTAACTGCTGTAGCTAAAAGACACCTGATAGTAGTCATCTTGACCACAAGTGAAAAAGTTTCATTATAATCCACCCCTTCCTTTTGAACATCTCCTCTGATCACCAATCTAGCCTTTAGTCTTTCTATACTGCCATCAGCATGTTGTTTTACTTTAAAAACCCATTTAGAAGGTAAAGCTCTTTTACCATTGGGTAAGACAACAATATCCCAAGTTTTGTTAAGCTCCAAAGCTGAAAGTTCATTGTCCATTGCTTTCTGCCAACCTGGATGATGTGCAGCCTGCATATAATTGATAGGTTCTTGTATACTAGAAATGGAATTGAGCATAATTTGATTGGTAGAAGACAAATCACTAAAAGATAAGTGCTCAGGAGTAACAGGACTCAAGAAACAACTAGAAGAAACATCTGTAAAATGCAGAGCATTGCAGACATATGATTCTAAATAAGCAGGCTTCTTATGGTTCCTAGTGGATTTTATTAAAAGAGTCTCAACAATAGGTGAAGGAGTAGAAATAATAGAAAAATTATCATATGAGAAATTCTAGGAATCAGAAATAGGAGGATCAGGAGACACATCCTCAGGAGGATCACAACTATGATTAGAAAGTATAGCATTATCAGTAAGATCTGAACAAGGATTAACAGGAGAATTTGGAGGGAAATGAAAAGGAACAGACAAATTAGGTAAAGAATTAGAGGGGAAATAACTGGTAAAAGACACATGTTTAGAAAAGGGAAAATACTCTTCATGAAAAACCACATCCCTTGAGACTGATATTTTCTTAGTTTGAAGATTCATGACCTTGTATCCCTTTTTCCCATAAGGATATCCTATAAAAACACAAGGACAAGCTTTTTGATCAAACTTACTTCTGTGAATAGGTAAAGTAGACACAAAACAAAGACATCCAAAGCATTTTAAGTGAGAGTAAATAGGTTTAGTTTTAAACAAGATTTCAAAAGGTGTTTTGAAATGTAAAACACTAGAGGGAAATCTGTTGATGAGATAAGTTGTTGTTAGTAAGCATTCACCCCAATAGCTAATAGGAAGATGAGACTGATATAAAAGGGCTCTTGAGGTTTCCAACAAATGTTTGTGTTTTCTTTCTACAATCCCATTTTGTTGAGGAGTGTGGACACAAGTAGTTTGATGGATAATTCCCTTGGAAATGAAAAATTCAGATTGTATTTTACCACTACCCAATTCAAAAGCATTATCAGTTCTAATTATTTTTATTTTTGAATTGAATTGCCTTTCCACCATATGAATGAAAGATTGAAGGATAGTAAAAGCATTAGACTTGGTGCTAAGAAGATTGTCCATGTTGCTCTACTATAATCATCTACAATGGTAATGAAGTATCTAAAACCATTATGAGTAGCAGTTTTATAAGGCCCCCAAGTGTCAACATGAATTAGCTCAAAAACAGAGGTAGTGGAAATATTGCTAGATGGAAAAGGTAACTTTGACTGTCTAGCCATAGGACAAATAATACAAGGAGAAGAAAATTTGGAACAAGATGTAGAAATAGGAAAAACTTTCTTCATATTACTCATTGGCATATGGCCTAATCTATAGTGCCACAACTTTTCTTTTACATTGGAATCAAAATAGCTGGAACTAGAAGTAAAGACATCTGCTAGAAAAGTAGAAAAAGAGAAACTATTAAACTTGGAACTGGTAGGATTGTTTGTAGCAACAACTGGATCACTGGTCTTGAGAATATATAAACCTTCTTTTTCCTTACCAAGCACCTGAGGGCTCTTCACTGAAGGGCCCTGCAAAATCAAACAAGAATTAGGGGTAAAAAAAATGGATTTCTGTAGTTGTCTGCACAACTTGTGAATGGATATAAGATTGAACTTAAAATAGGGAATTGATATACCGTGAGTTTACGGTATTTCTAATACATTTCATTTACAAGTTGTGTGTGTCTAGGGCCTTTTTATATTGGTTTTTATGTATTTTATCATGTTTTGCAGGAAAGGTGTTCAGGCGCGGAAGTTTAGAGACAGCTGAAGGAAATGCAGAAAAAGGCATCCACGGAGGTCATCTACGGACCGTAGGTCCATTCACGGTCCGTAGGTGATGACCGTAGATCAGCAGGAATGTGTTGAGGACAAATCAGAGAAATCTGACCAAGTGTGGAACCACGGTGCCCATTGACGGTCCGTAGATTGATCTACGGACCGTACTGTTGATCCGTAGAGTGAGACTGCGAGGGTTCCAGTACCTGATTTTTGAAGATGTTAAGTATGGAGCTACGGAAGGGATTGACGGACCGTCGGTCGATCTACGGTCTGTGTTGCTGGTCCGTCGTTTGCTTCAGAGAAGCTGATTTTTGGATGCTGAAATATTTTCTAAGTCCCGAGTGACGGAAGGGACTTACGGACCGTAGATCAATCGACGGTCCGTAAGTCAGTCTCGTGGATCGAAGACGCGTACCTGAACAAAACTTTCCTTAATTTGTTTCTTTTTTTATTTAGGATTTGTTTTCTATAAATAGGACATGTAAACTTCGTTTTTGGGGGTTAGAGACTATTATTCTATTTTTGCTTTGTAACTTTGGAGATTAATTTGCAACCCTAGCAATTATTGATTTCCCAAGTTCGTTTTTGAAGATTTTGGCTTTGCAATTCAAGTTAATTCTCTGGGTTTATTATTCTCTTTACGTAAGTTCATGATTTCTCCATCTACAATTATGAATTGTGTTCTTGCTAATATGAGTAACTAAATCCACAACTAGGGTTGTGGGAACCATGGTCGATTAACAAAGTATGAATAGTAAATAAGCAATTCTTGACTAGTATTTTGCATGCATCGATAATTCTTTCATTTAGAAGTCTTTTTAACGGTGGCCAACATTAGAACTCGCCTTGTTACTACTTGCCGGACCAAGGAGGTAATTAACAAGAAAAGAATTATCAACATAGATTGAGTGTGATACTATCTAATAGGCTAGTGTCGATTGGTGCGAAGTAATAACTAAGCCAAACATCGATTATGATGTCTAATATGAGGTAAAGGTAAGGGTTAGTAAATTATACACACGTAGCCGGACCAAGGTGCGGGGTGAAATTCTCTAGATGCCGGACCAAGGATTTAGAGATACCTAACTTATCACTTTGCATGTAATATACTAAAAAAGGATTGCTATTACTAGGATTACTGCGTTATGAAATTATGGGGAACACGTGTACCCTAGTTATTTCTCTTATATTGATAACAACCAAAGTTGAATCTAATTATTGATTACAATATTAAGTCTTGCTATTTGTTTCACACAAGCACAACCCCCCTTTTTATTACCTGTTTCTGGAAATAATTTGACTAATTGAATATAATTGTTGGTTAAAAGTAAAGTCTAAACCATTTTCCTCGTGGGATCGATCCCAACCTACAAGTTGGGTTCTTTACTTGATAACGATCGCTTATGCTTCTGAAAGGAGGTGTAATTTGAGCGTGTCAGGAATATAGAGCACATTTTCTAAAATAAGATCAGAAAATAGTTGGACAGAACGTGTATGAGTTACACTAACTTTATGAGAATTAGGAAGAGTGACAATTATAGATTCAGTAAGAGGATTAATGTTAGAGAAGAAACTTCTATCAGAAGTAATATGCTCAGAAGCTCCACTATCTAGTATCCAAGAACATTTATCAATTTTAAGTAGACAAACATGAGATTTAAGAGACTTAGTTATACCAGAGGATATCATATTTGCAGATGATTCAACTTGATCTTTTTGATTCATCTTTTGCAGCAGTCCTAGTAGTTGACTAACATTTTCTGGTGATAGACTGTTCAAAGCTACATGATCATAATTTCCTTGTTGTGATGCTTCCCCTATGCTAAAAACATTTCCAGCAACAGGTCCCTTTTGGTACCTCTTAGGTTTAGTAAACTTAAAATCATCAGGGAACCCATGGATCTTGTAGCATTGGTCAATAGTATGTCCTGTTTTCTTACAGTAATTACACACCAATGAAGATTTCTTGGCATAATTTCCTTGATTAGACTTATACTCATTGTTCCTCCTTTCCCTTGCATTACCTACTAGAAATGATGTTGAATCTCCTGGATAAGCAGGAGCAGCATGGATCTCTCTCTGTTTTTCATCCTGAATTACAAAAGAGTAAGCTTGACCAATAGTGGGTAAAGGTGTAGATAACAAGATATTGCTTCTAACACCTAAGAAAGTATCATTCAAACCCATTAAAAACTGGAGTAGCCTTTCATCTTGATGAGCCTTAAATCCCTTTTCCTTTGCACCACAGGTACAACTACAAGAACAAGCAGAAAAAGTGCTTAAAACATCTAGTTCATCCCATAAACTTTTCATCTTAGTAAAATAAGCAGATATGCTGGAATTTTCTTGAACAACAACATTAAGATCCTTTTGAAATTGAAATACCTTAGCACCATTTGCTTGACCAAATCTATCTTCTAGATCTGACCACAAAATTTTGGCACTTTGAGAGTACAAAACTGATTCAACAATTTCTTTTGAAAGAGAATTTAGCAACCAAGACAACACCATATCATTGCATCTTGGCCAAGCTTTTTTCATTTTCAGGTCTGTATCAGCTGGAACTTCTAGAGATCCATCAATGAATCCTAGTTTGTTCTTAGCTGAGAGAGCAATAATCACAGCCCTTCTCCAACCACCATAGCTTCTACCGTCAAAAACAGTAGATACAAGGTTCATGCCTGGAATATCTGAAGGGTAGATATAGAAAGCATGTGAAGCATCTACTGTATTGTTTACAATAACTACTTCAGAATTTTCAGTAGTTTGAGAAAGAGGTATCTGAACACCAGTCATTATTCAGAAAATGAAAGGAAGAAGAAAAAGGAAGAGTGAAGACTACGGGGAAGAAGAAAATATCACATCTGCTCTGATACCATGGGAAAATTTAGAGCTCACAATGTATAAATTTCCATTCCTTTATTTCTGAATGAATCCATCACTGTACAAGGTCCTATATTTATACAAAATGAAAAGCATCTATTCTGTAACTAACTATACAGCTGTCCATTTCTTATTGAATGAAGTGTAACTAATTGCAAAAATAAATAAAAGATAAGAGGAATATTAGACTTCCATATTATCTTCAACATTGGGCCTAATCCATTTGATATCAGCTCAAACCTGAGCTCAGGCCCAAAGTGAGAATGAACATCTCAGGCCCAATGTGAGAATGAATGTTGACAAATGAACTAACAGTGATTATTTGTGAAATGGAATACAAATTCTGCGTAGAATCGTTGAAAATCTTACGGAATGTGTGTGTATATATATATATATAATAATGTTGATACAAAAAAGTATACATTATAGATCGATTTTTTTCAATCCCAACTAGTTCAAATACCCTTTAAACAGTTCCAAAGTCTAGATGTAATCTCCTCTTAATATTTTGAGTCTTTTGATTTATTATTCATCCGAAACGGTTCAAGTTTGACACGTTAATTTTTTAAGTCGATTTTTTGTCTAATTTTCCGTTACTATATCCAACTTCGAACTTGTATATCTAAAGTTTGAAACTTTAGACCAATTTGATTTTTGATGCGACTAAACTTTAAAAACTTTATTAAATTTGGCTATTAATTAAATAGAGCATCTTTTTTCCACATCACAAGAGAGAGCCCACTAGAAGCCCAGCGGGTCCGTCATTATGCTGCCTTCACAATCCAGTTGATCCGGGCCATCGAACTGTGATTGAAGTGAAATTCGCCGGAAATATATCTTGCTCCGGCACCGGCTACATCGCGTGAGAGGAATTATGGCGACGGTTGATGTGATCAAGTGTTGTATGGATTCCATTAGACAAGTGAGTATTCTCTCAATCCCGGAGTATTTTCCCGTTAATCATACATTGTTCAATTTATTAAAATTGTCAAGTTTGAATTGTTTACTCAGTTCTACTACTGATCAAATTGAGCAGTCGCAAATTTATCTGCTTTGAAGGTTGAACTGCATCGCTAGAATTTAGGGAGGAAATGATTTTTAGGAATTGATAGCTAAGTAGCTAAGGAGTTCAGGCTAGTGTCTAACCATGCTAAAGAGATCACGAATTTCTTTGTTTTATGAATATTTTGGTTATATCAACTGTGCTTCAATCCCAAACTAAATTGTATAGGCTACATGATTCCTCTATATCCATTCTGCTCTGTTTTAGGCCCAAAGATTCTGAGATTCATCATAATATGTACATCAGTACTCGGACCGATAGTCGTTATGCTTTTCTCATAGGCAGATATAATGCTCCAAAATCTTTTTTTGAAACATATATTTTGTTTTATTGATTGACATTCAGTCACTCGACTATCCTATTGGGTACCCTGATCCTCCCACTAACACCAACAAGGTAATTTACATGCAGAAAAATCACCTAAATTCTGGTTTTGTTGGGATTCTAACCATTTTCTTTTGTGATCCTCATTCCAGTCTTATCAACTGCGAAGCCACACACATGGATGTTAATAGTGCCTGAAAGTTTTATAATACTTTGGAGAATAGATTGAGGGAGAACTTTGAATTCATGACATGTAGATTTTACATGTTCTACTTTATGTTATGCTTGTGAGGTTTTCTATTTGGTCGGTTGACTACGTGATAAATAAAATGCAAGGGAGGAAGAAGGATAATTTCGTGTTAATTTGTGATGGTAGATTATATTGGTAGAAATAGCTAAACTCAACAATCACTTCTCCAATTTTATTATTATTGTCTTCTTATGTTTAAGAAGGAACAACGTTGATACCCTATTTTTTCCCTTTCTAATTACTGAGGAAACTCCAGGTTGCATATACTTAAAGCGAAGGAAAAAGGTCATATTCATTTAATGCCGTTTCTTTTCCGATAGAATTTAGAAAAGAAACATATCCCTATAATGAGCGTTACATAGATTCAAATGATAAGATTAATGGTTGATCATACAAGATTAAAAAAGATTAAAGTTGACAATATTTGTTGGAAGGTGCAAGTAATACACATAGATCACTTGAGGTGGTTTAGTCATGTTCTACATTGGCCTCTGGAGCTAAAATTACATGGAAGGAAGTAGTCTCGAAAGATTCACAATCTCTTGGGGTCCATGCAGACCTAGCGAAAAATAGGACTAACATGGAAGAACAAGATCTATATAGGCGATACCAATTAGTTGGTATAATTGTTGTTACACTTTAGGCATGCTAGTCTATTTACTTTAGGTCCAATGTTTTTGAGGAGTCTTAGTCTGGTCATCTATGGAAGAAAATATTATTAATAGTGCTTCTTAATTTATTTTTAATCTAATTTTTATGTAACATCATACTTCGATAAACTTAAATGGAGCAACATGGGCAACGAAGATTCATATAGCCGATCCCTACTTGTTTTGGGTTGAAGCCTCATAATTGTAGCTCTTGTTGTTGTTATTATGATAGATTCTAGAATGTGATGAAAATTTAATCTAGTCTCTTTACCTTCTCTTCTAATAAAATATCCAGAAAATTAGAGAATTAGGTCAACTCTACTTTTATTGAAGGCAAAATAGTTTATATGTTATTTCTCTTCTGTTTTTCCTCACCTATGTACTTTTTTTCTAAAAACTATTTTATTGCACGGGGGGAAGGAGGAGGGGAGGAAAGGGGAAGGGAATGCTATCACTACTGGGGTTTGAACTCTCCACCTCAACTGTGGAAGCATGGAGCTCACCAAGTGAGCGAGTCCTCACCTGTACTAATCTATATAATAAGAAAAAGGCACTTCTGTACTTGTGTAGTTACTCGAACTTTTCTTTGAAGGCAGCATGGTGAATGGTTTTAACTTGATTTTTCTCCTGAATTTTGGGGAGCAATTAGTCAACTTAAAACTTTTTCTATATTTTTTTTTGCAGATATCAGATGAAATTAGAGATGCCATAATTTATCTGGATGCAGGGTGTACCGAAAGCTTTGAATATGTTGGAGCATTCTCTCTGTTTTTGGAGCTTGGTGCACATGCCATTTGCAGCTTGGAGAAAATGTCTCCTCTTGATAAGGTAACAATAGTTATACTTATTTTAGTTGAGTTGGAATTTGTTGCTTGAATTATCTTTTAGTTAATATCATGATATAGTTTAAGTTGCATAATCACAGATGAGCACCATACTCCGTAAGTAGTAGGCTAGTAGCTTCACTTCACATTGGAAAAGGAAACATGATATGCTTCCACTTCAGGAGAAGTAGTTTGTGTTTGAAAACTGCATGTTATTGTTATGTGTCTTAAATGTAATATGATTGTAAATATTTAGTTTGAATTGTCATGAAGAATTCCTAACTCAGCGTTAAGAATTGCTTGTGAAAAAAATAAAGGAAGTCCTCATTAAGAGTTGAAAAAAAAGAAGCTGTAGGCTTTATTCTCTTTTCTCTCTCTCCCCCGTCCCAAAAAAAAATAAAATGAGAGGGAATACATTGATTGATTTTGTATTAACAAAAAATATCTCCTTGAGAATAGTTAAGGAACGTATCACTTACTGTGAATCATGCACATGGCTAGCGTGTAAGCATCTGCAGTAGATTATTGGACAGAATGTTAAAGTGTTCATAAAATTCTTACTACGAAGAAAAGAAAACTGCTATATATATACACAACCACAAAAAAGGAGCCTCTTGTATTGATTCTTTTCCAGTTTTTGATCTACTTTTGTTTGAACCAGTCGTCAATGTCTTCCTTGTAGGTGGTTGATTGGAATTTGACTTCTGGGCCTGCAAAAAAAATTGTTGTCATCACGTCACGTCTTCTAAGTGATGCACATAGATACATTTTACGTTGCCTGAGTGCATTTCAGACTCTCTGCAGCTGTGCTATATTTACATGCATTTCAGAGGTACTTTTTGTGCCTGTGGATAAAATGTTCTTCTGAGATTTTCTACTCATTAAATTCAATAATGATACCTGATATATATTGGTTGTATTACCTGTTGTTTTACTTGCATCAACCACATTATTCTTTATTAAAAGATAATATACATATATCCATCCATTACGTCTGAATCAATTTTAAGCTTTAGGAAAAATGGGAGACATGCAGATCTTTCTTGGTTGGTACTCAGTATATATGTCTCTATGAAGATAGAATAACTTACTGTAAGATTTTTAACTTTTATATGTATGCTCGTCCAGAATTTCATGCAGATTCTCTTTCCTGTTCCTTTACAAGAAAAAATGACAACAACATACCCAATATAGTCTCACAAAGTGGGGTCTAGGGAGGGTAGAGTGTACGCAGACCTTATCTCTACCTCAAGCAAGGTAGATAGGCTGTTTCTGATAGACCCCTGACTCAAGGAAAAAGACAATAGTAGCAGGAGCAACCCAAAGCAGTTCAGAAGAAGAAATAATGAAAGTACAAGAAACAATAGAACAAGAGTACTATTACTCATATGATATAATAAGCTACACAACACTGGACTACCCACTAACATTCTATCTAATCCATGTCCTTCATATCCAATCTAAGGTCATGTCCTCAGTAAGCAGCAGCTGGGTCATGTCCTGTCTAATTACCTTTCCCATTACTTCTTCAGTCTACAACCACCTCTCCTGAAATCATCCATGACCAACCTCTCACATCGGGACATCCGTACACCTCCTCTTCACATGCCCGAACCATCTCAGTCCTGTCTAATTACCTTTCCCATTACTTCTTCAGTCTACAACCACCTCTCCTGAAATCATCCATGACCAACCTCTCACATCGGGACATCTGTACACCTCCTCTTCACATGCCCGTACCATCTCAGTCTGGTCTCTCACATTTTGTCCTCCATTGAAGCCACTCTCGCCTTGTCCTGGATAGCTTCATTTCTAATCTTATCCTTCCTAGTATGGTCAGACATCCATCTCAGCATATTTCAACCACTTTCATCTTCTGAACGTGATAATTCTCAATTGACCAACACTCCACTCCATACAACAATGCCATTCTAATTAATTGAAGGCGAGACTACTAGATGTTATCTCAAGATATATTTGTCATTATGTACTGATTGTGAATGAAAGGATAGTCATATTGTTATTGAAATGTGTTGTGGCCAAGGTTAGTTTGTCCTCTTGGTCTTAGTAGGACAAAAGAAAGCTTCCGAGCACTGCTAAGTGAAGGTACTGAGCATATTACCTTCACTTAGGGGGTTCGGCAGAGAATACAGGATGGATAGAAAAGTTTCAATGGAAATCATTTTCTTTCATCCACGAGTGGCTTCCCCATTCTAGATGAGATTTGCTGGTCACCACAACTATAACTTAATTTGTTTAGTTTCACTGAACTCAGTGTTAGACTATTTGTAAGGCCATGTTTTCAAGTTAGTTACAGATATAATGGAAAATTACTTCTTACCAGGATAACGTCTTTTTCTTCTGACCTTATTTCATGTTATTGATGGTCTGTCTCTTTGTAATCACTGTGTCACTTTTCTATTAGTTGCGAACATAGGTCGTCAATAAATCCTGATGAAGCTAATGTATCACATAAGTTCAATATTGGCACTGGAGTTGCTTGTCATATCAAATACTCTCTGTTCACCAACAGAAATATCTCAATCAAAGAAGGCTGCACTGTGAACTGAAAGTACTTTTATCTGTTTTAAGAAATTTAGTCTAGTGCTTTTGGACTAATGTCCTACTGCAATGATTTCGAGGTTGTCTATTTTACTGGTATATGTTAGGTCTTAAATATGTCATTGGCATTCCCACCCAATGTACATAGGAAATTGTCACTTAATATCTTCTTGTAAGATCAATCTGCAATGTCTTACCTCAATTTAAGTGTATGCCCAAATTCACTTATTTCAGACAGGTCACTCAGCATATCCTGAATCACCTTTAGGACCGGATGCATATCGTGAATATGAATCTTTGCTTGTCCAAGATTATGAGGAGCTTGCCAGAAAGTTTCTGATGAACTCTAGTCATACCGGAGAAAGCATACTAAAGGAAAGTACGCCCGCTGAAGATGAAGGATGGTCACAATTAACCACCAGTGAAGAGGAGCCTTTTAATTTCAGTTCTGTTGCAAGTGCACAAAATTCATATGAAGACAGTGTAATTGACCGGACCGAAGATGTACGGAAAAAGTTGAAAGTTTCTGTGCATCACTTCCCTTTGGTCTTGTGTCCTTTTTCACCTAGATTCTTTGTCTTGCCTTCAGAAGGATCAGTTGCCGAAGCGTACCTATCCGCTGAACATGATAACTCTATAAGCTTTGGGTTACCTCCAATAAGTACTGGGACAACTGCCGATGGTGAGGATGTCCCTCCTGGGGCAACTCTTACCGCTCAATTTCTTTATCATCTGGCGGCAAAGGTAATCATGCTTTCACTTGTCTGAAAGTTTCTTTACCGATTTTGAATGTTCTCTTCTATCGTGATTCATATATTGAAAATAAAAAAGATGTCCACCAATTGGCATCCTTGTTATCCAGAATGGTAGTGAAATTTGACTACACCTTCTCACTAACAATGTGTTTAGGATGGCATATCTCTGTCTTGGTACAAGCCTCTGCAATGCACCATTTATGTGTATTGAATACTACTTGGATTATACAAAAGTACTATATAATTGGTAATTTTCTTAAAACAACACACACACATAACAAACACTAGTTGTTGGATTCCATTATAAAAACAAAAAACAGCAGTTAGATTTAAGGATAACGGTCATTTAGCTGTAAAGTTGTAAAAAGGTGAAATTCCTAAAGGAATAAACCTGCTTTCCACTGAATATTTAATTTTAATAAACAAGATTAATTAAATTAATAATAACAGATGAAAGGTACAACTAATGTTCTTTAGTTAAAAAGGGAGAATTTACCATGTATTATGCGACATTGAGCAACTTTTCCGTCTATCGGATTTTTTGTCTAATCTTACCCCCGCGGCCTTGCCATCAGGAAAGTCTCATTTTTTGCCCTTGATTCTACAGAGCTCCAATCTGAAGTTAATGTTAAACCATAGTCAATTCAGAGCTAAATTTGGACACGTGGAGGCCACCAATTTCATGTTGGAGCTCTGTTAATGGCAAGAGAGTATGAGACAATTTGCTAATGGTAAGGGTATGAAAGGACCAAAGGTCTAGTGGAGGGAAAAATTGAGCAATTTCTAATAGTATTTATAGGATCAAGCTTGGACCTTTTCTTCTTTTAAAAAACATGAGGATAAACACAATGTTAAGCTCTTTGTGGAAATAAAAGGTAAATAGTGGGACATTTTCATTTAGAAAGTAAAAATGTATCGCAATAATCTATTATGGATTTTGAACGACTGATATATTGAATTGCAATCGTGTTATCTATGTTTTTTTTAGATTTTGCCTCATTCAGCCTGTATTTTGAAAGCTAATATATTCAATTTGTAGATGGACCTGAAATTTGAGATATTTTCCCTGGGTGATGTTTCAAAAACTGTTGGAAAGCTTCTAACAGACATGTCAAGTCTTTATGATGTTGGTCGACGTAAGAGATCTGCAGGGCTATTACTCATTGACCGCACTCTTGACCTTCTTACTCCATGCTGTCATGGGGATTCACTTGTGGATCAAATGTTTTCATCATTGCCTCACAGAGAACGGATGGCATCCTTAAGTCAATCTAAAAGCTCCCAAAGCCAGGTTAAACTTGGCCCTGCTTACTTGCAACGTTCTCCCCTCACCGTTCAGATACCACTCAATAATTTCCTAAGAGAGGATACTTCAAGTTCTTACAACTTTCAGCTGGTGGAAAGCGTTGAAGCATTTCTCCGTGGTTGGAATTCAAGAGACTCAACTTCTCAGATGGTTGAGTTGGTGAATTTTAGCACTAAACTTAGTGGTGAAATGTCCTCACAAGATTTTCAGAGTGACCTTTGTGGTTCTTTCGTCTCTACGGAAAATTTTCATGGAACACCGTACCTAGAAGCCATACTAGAGCGAAGAACAAAAGATGGGGCTGTGCTGATCAAGAAATGGCTGCAAGAAAGTTTACGTCGAGAAAATATATCATTGAATGCAAAAATCCGTCCTGGTTATGCTTCAAAATCAGATCTGCAGACTATGGTTAAGGCATTAGCTAAAAGCCAGTCATTGCTGGCGAAAAACAAAGGAATTATCCAGCTAGCAGCAGCAGCACTATCTGCATTAGATGAATCACATAGTGCTAAATGGGATGCATTTAGCAGTGCTGAGAAGATACTGAACGTAAATGCTGGGGACACAAGCCAAAGTCTTGCTGCTCAAATTAGTGATCTCATAAATAAAAGTGCGTTAGTTAGTTCACAGGGTAATAATAAGATGGATGCTCAACCGGGGCTTCTTACTCTACAAGATGCTCTGCTACTCACAGTTGTTGGATATATATTGGCAGGTGAGAATTTCCCATCTTCTGGGACTGTTGGTCCTTTCTCTTGGCAAGAGGAACATTTTATGAAAGAAGCAATTGTTGATGCGATTGTTGAGAACCCAACAGTTGCTAAATTAAAGTTTCTGAAAGGTTTAACTCAGGATCTAGAAGCCAACTTTAACAGAAAATCAGAAGAGAAGAAGGAAAATCTTTCTAATACCGAAAGCATTGATTTTGATGATGACGATTGGGGTAGTTGGGGTGATGAAGATTCTGGAAAAGATAAAAGAAAAGAGCAAGTGTATGATGACATGCAATTAAAGTTAGAATTACGTGATAGGGTGGATAATCTATTCAAATTCTTTCACAAATTGTCCAGCTTAAAAAAGAATGTTTCATTCAGAGAGTGGTCACAGGCTCTGAGTAAGTTCAATGATGATCCTTACTCTAACAAAGGACTGCTTTATAAAGTGCTATCAAGGGTGTTAGATAAGCATGAAGTACCTGGCTTAGAGTATCATTCATCTACTGTTGGCCGCCTATTCAAAAGCGGTTTTGGGAGATTCGGCCTTGGGCAGGTATGATTCAATTAGATATCAATATTTTCATTGCTAGCCTAAGTTGCTGATTTGATTCTGGAATTTTTGCAGGCTAAACCAAGTCTGGCAGATCACGATGTTATTCTCGTGTTTGTTGTGGGAGGCATAAATGGTGTAGAGGTTTGTTTTCCTTGAACTCTTAGTGCATTTCATGTTTCTGCTTTCATATTGGTTTAATGAATTTGTAACACATATGCAACAACGGTTAAGATATTAGTTAATAAAGCGAAAAGACTATAAAACACTGCTAGTATGCTCGTTGATGGGCAACCAAGAGTGTGGCCTAGTTGTCAATGAAGTGGTTGAGAACCCTGAGGTCTTAGGTTCTAAACTCATCGGAGACAAAAAACACTAGGTGATTCTTCTCATCTGTCCTAGCATTGGTGGACAGAGTTACTTGACATCGTTGATGCTATATGAAATAACAGTCCCTCCTTGTTCTATCACTATAAAACACTGTTATCCTTTCTCTTTCAATTGAAGTATGCTCGTTGGTGCTACGTGAAATAACAATCCCTCCTTGTTCTATCAATAGGTTCGAGAAGCTCAGGAGGCATTATCCGAGAGCAACAGGCCTGAAGTCGAATTAATTTTAGGTGGAACAACTTTTCTTACACCTAAAGATATGTTTGAACTACTGCTGGGCGATTATTGTTGTGTTTAAGGCTGTGTAGTTTTCTAGTTTTGTTCTGTAAAATTTAAGGTGAAAAGTTCTGTCTAATGTCTGATATTTAGAGAATACAAAACATATTTTTTCCTTAATGTAAACAGTATTGCAATTTATATGATTTTCAATATATTTTTTCTTATATACTTCCTAAATAAAAAGGAAATACAATGGTTGTCAACAAAGGAGTCAATTTGCATCCTATATTTTATTATCTCATTTGCATCCTATATAACTTTAAAGATGAAGAGATACACTTATTAGAATATTGCGATTCATAAAGAAACAAATTGTTATTTTCAGTCAATTCAATTAACTTTCCCTATATTAAGGTAAAACTCAATATAAAATTTCAGTTACAAAATATTAGTTATTGGAAATTTTAGACACTTTTCACTTGAAAAACGAGAGAAGAAAAAACACGAGAAAAAAGAGATATAGGGTCACCTTCCTTGATATGAAATACAACCTTATTTGGTACGTATTGTATTATTTTAATGAAGACAATGTTTAATTAGATTGTATCGTTCTTTGTCGTTATATAATGTCACACATTCATAATTTGAATGATAAACCTATGGGAAAAAGTAGGGTACGGGGTAGAGCTACAAAGAAAAGGTAGGATAAAAGATGATTATTCAGCAATAAATAAAGACAAAATGAGAAAGAAAATTTTAAGGTAACGATACGATCACACCAAGTCGATCGTTACATAAAATGGGTCTTTTCATCATTACCTAATGATGAATTTAAACAATACGATACAAATAAAATTTAAGTAACAATCCAAACAAACATTGTAATTAAATTACCAACACAATCCAATCCAATGGATAGCAACCATCCTAACAAGGGGTAAGTTATTGATGCAATTTTGATAAGAAAACAAAAATACTCTAAGTTTTGGGTCGTGGATCGCTCATGTGGACCGACCCAATCCAACTTTGAAGCAATTATTTTGATAGCAAAATCAAAAACTTCTGCCTCAAGGTACACAAGCCATCGATTTTGCTCTCAATTTCTCACAGATACATTATGACCATATCTTGATCCATCGATCATGACTCACTGAAGCTATAATACCTTTACCACGTAAACCTGCTAATGAAGAAATTATACCATCATGTGCTCTATATGATGAAGTTATGTTTGCTTTACACATTGGATTCCACAACTCCAAAACCTGCAAAAACATTTGACATGTATCAAATAGGGTGAAAAATAATAATCAAGAACTATACAATAGTTACTTAATCTGGAGATCTAATAATCCTAAATTTTCCTCAAATAAAAAGTTATTAATTCTTCGAGAGGATTTAATATCTAAAACATTCTAAGGTTACGAATATACCTTATTAGAACCAATCACCAACGCTAGAATTTGGCCTGGGTGATAAATGCAGGATTGAAACTTATTCACACCAGAGAGCAATTCAAATATCCACATTCCTTCACGAATAGACCAAATTCGTGCGCTATCTTCGCTCACAGATGCAATGTATTTTCCAGTTACGTCCCAACAGATTGAAAGAATGTTTCCATCGTGTCCCTATAAATCATAGAAAATGAAATCGCAGTTATACAATATAGTTATGCAACATGTAAGTTTGACTAAGAATGAAGAATATATATATAAGCATTTTACTTGTAATGTTTTCTGGATGGTTTGAGTCTCAATATCAAAAATATTTATGATATTATTGGTAGAACTTGCCAAAAGGCTCCCAAGTTGAGGTTGAAATCTAACTTGTCTACTCCCTCCCTGCATTGACACGGAGTTTAAGAATAGAAATGCGTTAATATTTTTGGGACGGACTAAAAAGAAAAGTAAATCATATAAATTGAGACAATGAGTAGTTAATTCTCTACAAATCACTATATTTCGAAAATTGTATAGTATATATGTTGTTTAGTCTAATAAGAATATTGGTTCAAATCATTTTATTTTCTAAAACATCTTTTTGCATGTATATTCACATAATAATCCACTATGAATGTTTAAAATCTTGAAATTGCTTGGAATGAATAAGAAAGAATGGTAAGAAAACTATTTACTACAATTAATCCAGGAATTTATGAAAAAACAAATTCAACAAGATTTCAAATCAGTCAATTAATAAATCTCTAAATTTAAATATAAACAACAAAAGCAGATAACTATCAAATTATGAGTCTCCACATGTTAAATAGAGGTAACGGTCTATCCCGCTAGTGATATTACTCAAGACCTGCACGATTTTAATACGCGTCACTAATTGATAAGACATGCTTACTTATATATATGCCCAACATCTCTCCTATATTTTTATTCATATGAAACCCTTTGTCTTAAGTTGGAGCGTTAACATTTTATGAACATCTAAAATAAAAATAAAAAGGAAGAAAATAGAGATACCAACCTTAAGACTGAGCATGCAATCACCCCCATTGACATTCCACAGTCTAATCTCATTGTTGTAATCACAAGAACTGAGAAGATCCACCATTGTTGGATGATAATCAACTGACATCACATGCCCATGATGTCCTTCAAGGTTTCTATAAGTCTTTGTTGGCTGGATAATGATAAAATGATGACAAATGTACAATATCATGGTTGTAATAATATAGACAATTTTTAAAAAAAATGGAAGAATATAATCAAACACATAGTTTACAGAATCATTGAATTTGTTTTACTAGTCAGAAAGCATAATCACATACAAATTAAAGACGAATTATACCATGTAAAATCACAATCTAAAATCGTACCTTGTTACAGATTCGTTCCAACACTCTTCGGAAAATAAATCTTCACAAGAACTTTAAGCGAATAATTTTTTTTATTATGGAAATAGAGATTGTACCTCAGCTGCATCCCATATTTTCACAGTTTTGTCAAGGGAAGATGTTGCAAACATTGTTGAGTTTGGTCTAAAACGAATATCTGTAATATCCTGACTATGACCTTCTCTACTACTAAAATCGTTATTTCCCAAATTCCAAATCATAACCTAAAAACATAAAAAGCAATACAAATTAATTAACAAAAAAAGTTAGAGATTAAAAAAAGTGTTTTCCCATTTGACAAAAAGTAAATAAGACAAACCTTATTGTCATGTCCACCAGTAGCCAAAAACTCTCCTTGTGTATTAAAGTGACAACATAAGAGCTCAATATTTGTAGCACGATAGTTATGAATATTTTTTAGAAAAAACCCTGTAAAGTAATATAAAGTCAATTATATTGTGGTTAATTTATTTCTTCAATATAAGAATATTAAATACACAACATATCTAGGTGAGTATTGACCCTAACAAAAAAAGTATGTGGATTAACTATTTTTGTTACATACCTTTTTGTTTATCTTTTTGCGTCGATACGACGATTGAATTATTTGGACCTCCAATTTCTTTCTCAACCTACAACTCAGGAATATATATTATATATATGCAAGAATAAAATATTTGAAGATTTTATATAGAGAGACAAGAAAAAACTAAGAAAGGGAAGTTCATTCTCAAAAAAAAAATGATGATGTATGTTAATAGGGATGGCAAACTAATGAGTCGATTCAGGGTCAGATCGAAAATGTGTTATGTGAAAATAAATAAATTAAAATATCTAAATTGACTCATATTTTATATGGATAAATCAAATAGATATCCATATTATCCACTCTTTTAGTATGTAAACAAATAATTACAAGATTTTTTTTCTTATACCTTTTCTCTGTTTATGGTGGTTGGTATGAAGGAAAATATTTCCTTCTTTTCCTAGAAAATATTTTTCTGATTTGACAAAGTTTTGAATATTTTTTTCCATACAGTGTAGAAGTCATTTTTCTTAAATTAGAGGAAAATATATTTATTTTTTAAAAAAAAATTCCAAAAAATTAAAATTATCTAAGCATGAAAAAATTTGAATTTTAAAAAAATAATATATTTCTTCATACTAAACACACCCTTATAATAAGTGTACTTTTTAGAAATTCTTACACCCTTACACACTTAAGGGGAGTGCAATTAATGAATAGCCATGTATAATATGGATTGATCCATATTTAATCGATCATTTAAAATGAATTGAATCGAACAGATAAATCATAAATTTTACTCATTTTACCACCCCTTTATGTCAATAACATAGCAAAATGAAAACACAATCACATGAAAGGATTCAAGAAGTTGTTCTTACTAATCCCAGAGAACTCAATGGAGATTTCCTCTTTCTTCCTGCAGTCTCCACCATAGGTTGTTTTCCCTCTCTTCTCAAAATTCTTTCAGGAGAATCCATTGTTTGTTGTTCTGCTAATTCATTCCATGAGTTTCTTTGATTTGTATCACCAAACACCTATCCAAAAAGAGAACAAAAATAACTTCTTAATCAGTATAACATATATTTTGTCTCTTAAATACTTAAAAACGAGTATTATATTCAACTTACTCCTGCATGGTTTCCACCTTCAATGTGACTAGGAAGGAAATCTCCAACACTTGTAAGAGCATGGTAGAGCTTATTACCATAGTAATATTCAACTGCTCCCTCAGGTAAAACTACTTGTCGCGGAGATGATACAGTAGTAATTCCCGGAAATTGTTCCTCTTGAATATGCATTGTTACATTAGATGGCCATTCTTGATGAAATGCTTGTTGAATAGATGTATTATTCCCTGTACGTAGGTACAACACAAAAGAAGATCCTTATTGCTATAAGACTAAATAGTACTAAAGAAAACTCTTCGTTTGGTTGGAAACAAGTTATCCCAGGATTAGTTATCCTGGGATTAGCTATCCTGGGATAACTTATCCCACCACGTATATGGGATAAATGGTGGGATATTATATAAGTTATTCCAAACATGGCAACCAAACCAGATATGAAAATTTTATTAATACTTGTGTCAAAGTAATTATTTTCATTAAAGCTAAATTAGAAACAAACCTGCATCTATAAGTTCTGGTGAAGCAAGCAAAGCATTTGCAGGTCCTTCAAAATCAATCTCATTCATTCGTTCAGAAGCCTCTAAAATTGGTTCTTTTTCCAGCCACTCTAACATATCAGGTGAAAGCGGTATGTCCATCACATTATTAGATGTATTTTCCATCGTATGATCATTAGAAGCATTTAATTGATGTGTATGAACGTTGTTAGTAACGATGTCTTCCACTACTAATGATACCTGGAAATACAAAATCGAGTATTTAGTTTGGAAATAATATTTTGTATCAATTTAAACATGAATAAGTATAGAAAAAGTTCTTGGGTAACACCTTATCAACGGATTCAACATTGAGCATAGGAACGTTTGGGTACACAAAGTTATATGTTTCATAGAATTTATTCCACCACATTTGCAGAAATGCTTCTTGAGAAGAATTGACAGCTGAAATGAATCAAAAAATCAAACAATTATTACATCAAAGTTTGATATCACATTATCACATCACTTTTTTATTCCACATGCATTAAGAATTTATTATTTCACATGTATATGAATAATAAAGGATAGTTAACACACTAAAAACCTGTTTGGATTGACTTAAAAGTTGGTCAAATATAATTATCAGTCATTTTTAGCTTTTGATCAGACTGTTTGACAAAGTTAAAAATAAGGAAAAATCACCTAAATTATTTTACCCTATTCTCTAAAATTCTCAACCATTTGAAAAAATTACAAAAAAATATATTCTAGTCTCTCCTATTCTCGGAGATATCACTTTACGCGATATATCGGCCGGATACATCACTTTACGCAATATATCGATTAGATACATCACTTCACACAATGTATTGGTTGGATATATCACTTTACGCAATGTATCGGGACGTACACGATGTATCGAGACATTGAGTGATGTATCCGAAATCGAGACACTGCTAGATGTATCCGAAATCTGGATGCAATGTATCGAGCTGTATCCAGATTCCACCAAATTTAATGGGTTTTTGTAATTTGGAAAAGAATAGGGATGAGATGGCTCTTAACACTATCAGATCTGTGTAAAATAAAATAACTTGAAATGACTTAAAAAAGTTTTATAAATCAAAAATAGAACCCTCCCTACTTTTTATTTTTTAACTTAAAAGTCATCTAAATTACTTTTTAAAAACTACTTTTTTTTTTCCAGTCAATCCAAACGGACGCTAAGTACCATATATTCATATGTAAGAATTATCAAATAATTTAAGCATACGAATATATATACAACCATTTTAGTAAAAACATCCATTACTAAAAACACATATATAAGTTTTTACTAATAAAATTCATTAAAAAGACTTTCTTACCATAAAAATTTTGATTAGCAAAAACTTCACGGCGGAATGTCTCTATAGTCTCATGTAAACCTTTTATAAACATGTAATCAAGAATGACTTGATCAAGTCTGAAAAAATACAACCAAATTAATGGATAAACATGATTAAAAATAGTCAAACAAAAGGAAAAAATTCACATACAAAAAAAATCAAAACAAAATTAGGGAAACAAATATAATCTTCAAGTGTATCAATCATCATTCATATAAGTATAAAATAACACTAAAGTTTAATAGCTTTTGCTATAAATAATTGGTGATATATCACACATAAACACTTACAAGCGTTGAGCCTCCAAATTGGCCATATGATCATCAAAAGCAAAACCTTAACTTATCATAAAAGAGAGAAGAATTGAATTTTTGAGCAAGAACAATTGGGAAAAATGAAGAACTTTTTTATTTTATTTTTGTTATATATACTCTATTTATTATTAAAACAATCAGATTTCAAAAAGAAAAGAAAGGAAAGGAGTTAATGATCAGATACAAAAACGAGAATAAAGTTGAAATATTTGATATAATGTAATCTATTTTAAATTTGCTTTTGATTGTTCCACCAACTTACCATATATTGATTTGTCAATTTTTTTATTTTAAAAAAAAAAGATTAATCCAATTACTTAATCTCATTAGAAAATGAGAAGCATTTCAAAGAAATTAAGGGCTTTGAGATAATGTAACTCTTATTACCAAAAAAAAAAGAATGCAACAACAAAGATTTGATTTGATAATATAGTCTTGGTGAGAAATTAAATTATTGTTGACTAGATACCATTTTAATTAAGTTATTGGATTATCTACTAAATATCAGGGGATTTGTTGATATCAAACGGTAATTTAATAGTTGTTAGAATGGTCTAGTCAAGTTATAATAACCCAAGACTTCATTAGCTCCACTCATGCATATCATGAATTTAGACATATATGATAAGTTAGTAATATAATACACTGTCTTTTAATTTGGTCTTACGTGATATTTATAGACTTTCATGTTGGGTTTGTATAACTTTAACGTTTTAAATTTGTATAAAATTAAACAAGTAGATACATGTGTTATATGTGGCAAAATACATGTAAGACGCTTCGTAGAATGTCATGTAGAACTCCATGTAGGACGTATGTGTTTATTTGTTCAACTTTATGATAGTTTAATAAATATTTATTTTTACACACCTAAAATTAAAGGGCATAAATATCAAATAAGATCCAATTAAATGCATGTTTCTGTATGCCTAGTGTTTATATATACTATATGCAACTTTTAAGAGACTAGAGAGTAGTTTTGTTGAAGGACCATAAACTATCCATGACTGATAAATTACAGTCAAAAGATTAAGGCATAATAGATAAATGTGTCTTTTAACTTGACTTCAGTTTGTATGTATGATCTGTAATTTTGAACATAAGTAAATACTTAAACTTGTATAATGTTGAACAAGTAGACATACGTGTGCTATATGGCGTCCTATGTGGCGTCTTATGTGTATACGTATGCAATTTTATTCAAGTTTAAGTATCTACTTATGCATATTCAAAATTGGAGGACATAGATGTCTGGTGCAACTAAGTTGAATGGAATAATTATGTATGAGAAACATTTTTTTTTTTTAAAAAGATCAATGAACAATATTCGGTTTCTTAAATTTATATAGATTTATAATTGTAACATCCCGCAACTTCTAATCAAAGATTCGAATCATCCCCAGCATGCGTATAGGCCCAACTTGATGATTTTTAAGTTGTACATATATGTTAAGGTCCTTTACTAAGTGTAGTAAGTGTATTAGATGTGAATTAGAGTCATAAGGAACCTCTAACACCAAGTCAAGTTCAAAGCATTTCTATCGGCTAACTTTTTTAATTTTATTCAAATACTACAAAACTACTTAAAATAATTTAACTTTAAAACACGTAAAATAATAGACTCTACCATTTTTTTTTTAGGAAAAATGGGTAGAGGCTAAAAAAAATACTATCTCTGTTCTTTTTTATATGTCATCCTTACTATAAATAGTTGATTCATAATACTTGTCATTTCATAAAATTAATGCATAAATCATAATATTTTTTTCTATTTTACCCTTGTGAGTTATTAGCCTTGAAATATACATTTGACCAACATAGAAAAACTAAGTGAATAATTCATGTTAATTTATTAAATTAATTAATTAAAATAAATTAATTCATATTCATTAATTGAACAGTTAACTTTGAAAAAATTTAAATAAGAATAAAATAATAAACTTACTAAATTAATGCATGGAAATAAAAAATTGTGACATAAACGGGAACCCCAAAGAGTCCTCCCACAAGCTCACTATCACAACTGACCAAAAAATTCAATTCTTGTTTTGTGGGTTTTGTTGATTTTCCATTGAAAATGGGAAGGATATTTGTTGTAGATCTTGAAGGCAGGATTTACAAGTGCAAATTCTGCAAAACCCACCTTGCTCTTGCTGATGACCTTGTTTCTAGGGTAACCATTTCTTCAATTTCCCTTTCTAGCTAAGTTTTTATAAATAAAAATCTTATCTTTGTTATAGAGCTTTTCATTGGGTTTTGGCCTTTTGGGGCTTGTTGTTTCTTTGAGTAATTAGCTTTTATTTACTTGTTTTTGCATATTAGATGGTATTTTTTTGTTTTGAGAAAGAATACTTAGATGGTGTTTTCTTGTTTTTGCATAATTAGATGGTACTTTTTTTGTTTTGATATAGAATAATTAGATGGTATTTTCTTGTTTTTGCATAATTAGATGGTGTTTGTGCCTACACATCCTCCAAAAGTATAACCAAAGGAGAAAACAGGGCAACTAGAAAGAAAAGAAATGTTCTTGCATGATCATTTGCTTATGCTAGTTTTTTTCGGCACGTGTATGTCAAGTCATGTAGAACGTAGGCGTTTAGCCATTTTCACTGTGAAATTTAAAAAAGAAGTGTATTTTTTTTTTCAAAGTGAAAATTGATATTGTTTGGCCATGAATAAAAAATGGAGTTGTTTTTGATAATTTAGAGTGAAAAAAGTGATTTTGTGTTCCTGAAGAATTTTGTGTCCAAAAAGTGACTTGAAATTCTAGAATTCAACTCAACTTGAAGTTGAGTTCCTGAAGAATTTTGTGTCCAAACATGTTTTTTGGAGTTCAACTCTAGTAAAAAAGTGATTTTTTTTTAATAATATATGGAAGAATGTGTGGAGAGTAGTTATGCTTTTTGCTTTGTTTGTTTGTTTCGTTCTGGGCTGTGAAGAAAGTGATTCAACTTGATAATTGGAAGACTAGGTATGGACTATGGTATTCATGCTTATTACCCTTCAAGTTGGAAGTGATTTGGTTTCTATCATTAGTTATGTGATCTGTACCAATTTATAATAAATGTCACCTAGCTTAATTGTTATTTTATATGGCAGAATAAAGTACATTTTTGTGTGGATGATCAATGCGGAACAAATCTTGTAAATGGATTTAAGATTTAGCTCATTAGTTAATTTCTACATTTTGAATATAATTATTGATTATCGTTCTGTCAAATATGTCTATCCCTAAAATCAATTAAACTCAAGTCTTTCTCTTAAATAGCTATAAATGGTGACATGCCATTTTCATGCAAGTGTTTATAAACTTGAAGAACACAACGTAAAAAAACATAAAGTTAAATTACCAAATGCGCAAGGATTAGGCTTGGAGAGTGATTCAACATTTTAATCAATCTTTATCCTTATGGAAATTTTCTGCCACGATTTCTTATTCATAATATTGCACTTTTGGCTTGCTTGGTTTGTAGTTTTTTAACGGTTAGTTTTATGGCCAGGGATTTCATTGCCGCAGAGGAAAAGCCTACTTGTTCAATAAAGTGTGAGTGCCTATTAATTTCTGAACTACACATTGAGCATAACCAGTTTTGTTTTATGACTTGATCTGCTTGTTTCACACCTGAATTGACTTTGTTGATAATCATGCATTCATTTGAGACTGATATCTGTCACATTCTTTTTATATCCTATCTTACTAGTTATGGTATTGGGAAGAGGATTGAGATTTATTAGATTTAGTCACATAAATTGGGATAGAGGGAGTAACACGTTATTTTATTAAAAAAAAGATATTTTCTGTATTAACTTTATGTCTTCTCTCTGTATGATATATTCATGATTGTCAGTGTTATGGAATTGATCTATCCTTCATCCCTTGTATCAAATTCTCAAAATTTACCATGTCGACGTGTCTGCAACTAATCATATGCATTTACATCCATCTTCATACTTTCTAAATTGTAATGAATTGAGGAACTCCCATTGTATGAACTGTAATATAACTTTAACCTCTAGACAGATGTTATCTGTAGAAGAAAAGACTTCCTTTCTAGCGACAACGACTTATTAGTGAATCCAAAAGAGTTCCCAATTTCAATATTGCACTCATATAGATTTCACGTAAACTGAACAATTAAATGCTAGCAACAACATCCAACTTAACCGTACCACTTGAAGGCACTAAAGATCAGCAACTTTGATTTTATGTATTGAACATTGCTGTTGAGCTGAAGATGTATTTGAATAGAAATTAGTGTTTGCTTTTTCTAGTAGTGGAACATGTATATTTTCTCTTATTCATCCTATCTTATAGATTTGGGTTCCCAAGAGGTATAACTAATAAGAACATGTATATTTTCTCTTATCCATCCTTAGTTCTTTGAAAAGAAAAAGAAATCCATTTTACAGATCAAGTTGGTAAGGACTAAGGATTACCGCTTCATTTCTGTTTCTATGGTCGATGATCATAGAAGCCTTGGCAGTGTAATAGATGATATATCTACTAACATCATTTTCTCTGTCTTCCCAACACTTTGCAATTGTGCACCATTCGATATATATGCAGAGGTCTGACTGGTCCGCCTGATTTTGTGATTCAGGGTGAACGTAACTGTTGGACCTCAGGAGGAGAGAGCGATGCTTTCTGGGATGCACACAGTATCAGATATATTTTGTTGCTGTTGTGGGCAAATTGTTGGCTGGAAATATGTATTCCTTTTCGTTCTCTCTCTATTTCTCGTGCATGTAGAAATAGACACCAAAACAAGCTCGCACACTAAAAGAGGAGGAAAATAGTTACTCCTCTCGCCATATAAATATGTTACCAATTGCACATGCATGATATACCTACACCGGAAATTTTGTTAACTACTAGCACTCTACGTTTCTATCATGCAGGAGGCTGCACATGAGGAAAGCCAGAAGTATAAAGAAAAGAAGTTTGTTCTTGAAAGGTGCATCTTTTTTCTTGTTGATTTCACATTCGACATGTATACTTGAA